TAGCACTGTTGCTCCCAAGTAGTACTGCAGGAGTGCTTCCTGCTGCTGCCACATGCTGTGCCAATGCACAAGCACACCCACACATTTTCTACCCCACGCCTTGCACATATGTCAATGCTCCCCTGTGGGCAGGATTCGCACACACTGCCAGGTGCACGGAGAGCATCCACACAGGCACCAGAGGGAGCACATAGAGCTCGGCAGTTGGAACATCTGCAGCAGCCACCAAACTCAATGGTGGAAATGCAGAAACTGCAAGGAAAGAGCACAGTTGGGGTCACACATAATGCCAAGCCATGGTGAAACATGGAAACCTTAAAACAAGCTGTTGGAAATCAGATGCACCATGCTTTGCAATGGATGCTGGATAAGACATGTCTGTGCAGTTTCCAGCATGGGTCATTGGTACGTGTCAACACAGCCAATAGGTAGAAACAAATTTTACTTTAGGGAAAGACAGACTAACGTAATATTAATAGTTGATAATCACTGCTTGTAAAGACTAACACTGCTATACCTTTAACAGCAAAGAAATTGAGAATGTGGATTTCATGAATTATACCAGTGTTGCAACGATCGAGAAGCACAAACATGAAGGAGCTGGCATGGCTGCTATCAGTGTTACAGTGTATGTGCTGCTACACCCAATTATTCCAGCTTTTGGCAGCTAATGTACTGCTCAGGTAATGTACAAATAGAGCTTTAATGTTTTCAGTAAAAGTGTATTGCAGCCAGCCATACTATATCTATGCTTTACCAAAAAAAGGTTATCCATTGTTTCTGATCTTTCCACTAGTTTGCACTAACCATAAAGATCTCAAGAAATTCTGGTCTCAAAGCAACTGTAAAATCTAAAAATCTGCCTTTCTCTTTTCCTTTCCTTTGGGCTTAAGGTATATCAGGACGCTAAAGAAACTCAAAACATTCTCAGGAATGTAACATTTTAAATGTGATTTTAATATTTACATGTGAACTGCTTGGGTATATTATATTTAGTACTTTAATTTCTCACCAACAAATAAGTATGAATATAATTACAGAAGGTACCCACAAAGCCAAGTGTTTAAGGTTTAAAACAAAGATGTTTGCTTCAATTATTGCTTATCATACAATAAGTTTTAAGGCATTTATGCATGCATGAAAAATTAAAGTTTCCATATGATAAATCCACACTTATCTGAGGAAGGTATTTGAGCCAGGTACCCAAGATCCACTTATCACTGTATGATGCAACTGCTCCTCACACACAAATATTTAAGGGTGCATGCTTCATCACATATTTGTTTAAAGCATTATTATCCTGCTAAGCCCCTCAGACTCCCCTAGTGAGTTTCAAAAGATCAATAAAAAATAGTTGATTTTAGTCCCTATACTCTTGCAAGCTAACAAGCAACCAAAAAAGGGGGGGGATAGGGAGGGAGGAGGAAAGTGTGCAAACTCAGGGACAAGTTCTTAAGTTCTAAAACTCTTTTAATGACCATCTTGAATGGGAAGAATTGAGAGACAAGGAAAGCCAGCTGGACTGAGTCTCTCTGCTAAGCTATTGTTCATGCTGCAGTATTACTATCATTAGTTTATTTGTAAGTCACTTTCATGTTCAAAGCTGCTTACAATAACACAGTTTCATAAAATGCAACTGTAGTTTTAGAAAGGTCATTAACAATTGCAAATCATAACATAATTTTAATTGCTCTAAGAGGCTAAATCTCTTATTAATACACAGTAAAATTAAACAATATCTTAAGTTTAAGCAACTATACGAAAGCCTAATAAAGGATATATTTTAAAAAGCAGGAAATATATTACATCTCATTAAAGCAGATAAGACACATATGCTACCAAAATGCATCTCAACAGCTTTTAGGTGTGGTGGGAGGGGAAAGAAGGGCAGCTGCTACCTGTTGCAATTGTAGGTGGAATCAGGTAGGGTCCCACCTGCCAGGACAGGTGGAAATGAGCCTGGTAGAGAAACAGGAAGCAGCTCCTGAAGCCAGGTGGAATGGCTGCTAATACATTCCAGCTGTGGGAAAGGAGGAGCCAAGTGGGCTGACCTCAGCTTAACCCACACAGTGATTCCAGCACATTAAAAAACCAACATGTGACTTCAATAGGAATCTTAAAGATTGTCCCCACAGCCGTGGAAATTCTGTGACAGGTGAGCAGAAAGTAGATCTTGATCTACTGGCAAATCTTTGCAGAGAGATTCTCAGTGGATCAGCAAGGATTTTTGGACTTCCCAATTTTTAAGGAGTGGCTACAAAATTATCCCCATCCTTCAGTTACACTCCCAGAATAAAGGAAACTTGGGGTAGCCCAGAAATGAATTTCTGTGTGGTGGAATGATTATGAGCTCCATTCAGTTCTGATATGCCAAATAGGGCTCAGAATCATGTAATTCTAAATGAATGGGGCAATATCCAGCTCTGCTTGAGCACCAGCTGGATATTTGGCTGATACACTGGGAAGCCATCACTTCCTAAAGCAGCCAAAAACAAGCTGAAATGCTACTTTTCTGAATAGAACAGGTCAGCAGAGCTCCACTTGAAAACTAATGTTTTGGCTCACTTCTGGAGCTGTTCCAGGACTTGTCAGCTTCCTGTTAGAGGGTAGAGAGTCACATTAGCATACCATAAGAAAGTCAGGTACACAGGTATGCCTTATTTTTTTCTGCACCAGGTTCTAGTTGGTGAATCTCAGTAAAAACCAAAACAGATTTTGTAAGCACAGATTCTGGTCATCTCTATGGTTGATTAGGTAAGCAAAAATGGAGCTATGTCAAAAAGTGTTGGCTAGTTTAATTGTGAAGGAAAAACTATTGAAGGCCTGTCACTTCCCACTTTTTCCTTAAAGAGTCTTTGGGTATAAAGCAAGGTGAAAGTTCCTGGCTTTCTAGGTTCTCTTTATTTTAAGCCCTAGTGTCAACTGACTTCTCTTTTTAACTTTTCTTGCCAAAATTGTTTCCTATTAAAAGCACTGCTGATGGAATACCAAAACAAAGAGAGGAAAATAACAAATTATCCAGGTTCTTAAAAATCCATGCAAGATTATTTGTGAACAGTATATATTACCATCTAATTTAAATCATCACTGGTTTAAGCAAAGAGGGACATAGTCATGTTGGGTTCTACATATTTAGAATCTATATGCAGAGAAAAAGAATAATCAGATTTTAAAGTTCTGATAAGATCTGACTTCCTGCCCTCTGATTTCCATGTTTGTAGAAATCTTACCTTATTTGAAAGGAGAGTAAGGAAGTGTTTTAATTAATTTTAAGGAACCATGTGATCTTTTATTAAATTTGTAAGTTAAGAATATATTCCTATACCTTTAGAACACAAATCTTATATGAGATTGATTTGACAACGTGATCCAATATTTTTTATGAAAAATAGTGGGGGATCTTTGATACTCTCCCTTCCTTTAGAAATGTCATTGTTAAAAAATCGATTCTTAGATCAATTACGCAGAGAAATATTGATTGTGGCAAGAAGGTTCATTTGTATCCCTAGTCATCAGGGGAAAAAACAGAAGAAAGAGAAACCCACCCTTTATTCCATGTTCTTACAAAACCGTTAGTTAAGGCGGCGCTGCTATTTTGATTTGATGAGCTCACTCTTGCTGTGTATAAACGAACCCGCCGCTGGGGGGCGCACAACTCGTTCAACCAACGCGGCCCGATCAGAACCGACTGAGTACAGCACGTTGCGCTTCCAGTCCGATGCAGGCATGGAAGATATCCCAAGCTGTTCTTGAGCAGTGCGATCCCAAACCCAGCTCAGGTGTCGGAATCGTATCACCCCGCCTTGTAGCATACACACGCACACTGCACAGAAGCCTTTCGGATTAGATGAGAGCGCCAGCAGCACTTGATCACTACGAAATTTAGGATACATTTTCAGCCCGCGCGCGCCAGAAAAAAAGGCCCGGCAGCTGAAATATTATCCCTCCTCCCCCCAGCTTGTCCCCCTTTCCTTCTTTGTCCAGTGACCCAGTTCGCTTTTTTCCCCCCAAGCCGAATCTAAGAGATCGCTTTGCAGCTGCTTGGAAACCGCTTCTGGTGACCCATATCGTTCGAATTTTCAATCACAAGTGTAATTTTGTCTGGTTCCCTTCCCTGGAATAATAACGAAGATCGAAAGACCCAATGCAGCCAGGAGTCAATTCTTCTAATGGCTAGCTGTTCTCCCTGCTCCTCCCGCCTTAGTGCCAAAGGAGAGTTTAAAATGGTGTTTCAGATGTTGCCCACCTGGAAAGCTTAGTCATGTGATTTATTTATTTATATACATACCTGTTTTAGCTATTAGGGTTGTTGCGTATGCCTAAAGTCAGCGGCACATACGTATAAAAGTCAGAAATTGCATGATCAAGAAGAGCAGTCCCGTGCAAACATGGGCGTGTGAACGCGCCCACCAGCTCCTTTGCTCATCCAGGTTTCGCGCTGGATCAAGCGTTGGCATTTCCAAGAGCGTGCAAGCGGACTGCTTCTTAATACAGGTTTACATATGGAATATTTCTAACAGGAAGAGGACGGTGCGCGCGTGCGTCTGTATCACCCATACCTTTCCTCAAAATGCATCGGCGAAGGGGTGCTGACTTTCTGCAAGGTCTGTTTGCAGAGAAGGAAGGGGTGCCTATTCTTCTCCCCCTCCTCCGCTCGCTGCTGCTTCAATGATGTCATGGAGAGACAGCAGGCGGGGTGGGGGGAGAGGAGGAGGCACTGCAGGTTCATGTGTATATAATGAAGAGGCATTTGACAATCTGCCAAAACGCACGGGAGGGAGAAACTGGACCTACTGGATTTCGTAAAACGAATCGTCATCATCCGCAACTACATGGGGAAAGGGGAGGGGGGAGCGGCGGCGGCGGCGGCAACAGAGGCAGAAGCGGCGACTCCAGACTCGGCTGCCTCAATGTGAAACCACACGCAAAAATAAAAAGGGAAAAGCGGGGGAGGGTGGGGTGGTCGAGGGGTAAATCCGGGAAAGCAAGCAGGAGAGGTTTATTTAGACGACGACGACGACCCTAAGACCCGATCCTCCGTCGGTGCAAATTTCTCGCTCTGGCTCACTTCGCTGGGATTAAAAGAGCCTCTTCCTGGCAGCAGCCATGAATTCAGCGGAGCAAACCGTTACATGGCTGATCACCCTGGGGGTGCTAGAGTCGCCCAAAAAGAGCATCTCGGACCCGGAGGGATTCTTGCAAGCCTCTCTGAAAGACGGGGTGGTGCTGTGCAGGCTGTTGGATCGCCTGCTGCCGGGCACCATAGATAAAGTAAGTGCCTTCTATTCCTCGATTTCCCTTTAAACCTCCTCTTCTCTCCTTTCCCCATCGGCGCCGCAAGGGAAGCGGATTTGACTTGGGTTTCACTGGCAGCGCCGCTGCCAGAGCGCACACACATCATGCTGCCCTCTCCTGCGTGCACAGCGGAGCTCATGTAACCGAATGCGGCGAAAAAATGCCTTGGCTGGGTGCTGAATAATGCAGCGACACCAGTTACTTTCCCAGCACAAGGCGCAACAGTCACCCGGGCGGGCAAGGAGCGAGAGCTCAGCCCTTCCACGCTTTGCGCGGTGGCGGAGAGGGAGGGCGGAGAGGGAGAGGCGCGCACAGCACACATGGGCTCAGCCCTCACCCTGGGCATGCTGGACAGTGAGCCGAGCCGGGATTCGAGGCGATCGGCGCGCTTTCCTTTGTCCAATGGTGCCCCCCCTCTTTCCCCACCCTTGCAAACGCAGGAAACGTGCGGCCTGTTCCTTAAGCAGGCTGCTGCCTTCCCCCAGCCAGCGGCGTGCTGGACATCCTTCCCAGCTAGCTGCAGTGGCGCCATTGTCAAGGATTTGGAGGGAGGAGGGGAGCGGATGGAAACGGAGGGTGGGGTGTGCAGAGGGGTAAATTCAGGAGCAGAGTTTGGAGCCAGGCTAGGCAACTGGGCGTCTAGATTCCCCCTTAAAGGGGCAGGAACTCTGGAGGGTTTACACATCTTGCATTAGTAAACATTAAGGATAAAACGGCTATGAATCTCTTTGCAAGTCGTGTAAAAATTGACTATACATGGCAAGAGCGCCGCGCACGCACACGTGCGCGCGCGGAAGGTAGTTCTCTTATGTTTAAGGTTCTGCTCTGAATTAGAAGGCTTTTTAAAGTTTTTTGTTATGTGCTTTGCATCTTATATCTTCCTGCTGAGAAGGGCGTTAAGATAGCTGTTGGGTTCTGCTAGACATGGAGAAAATTAAAGTCGTCTGATGAAATTTGCACTTTGCATGGATTAATACAGCTCATAGTTTTGCGTGGATTTTAAGGACCTCTTCAAAAATCGAAAGACGAGTTTGAGGCTGTACAGAGGGGAGACAATTAGGCTAGAAAGCACAGACTCAGGCTGTGGAGTTTTTTATAGAATATTGTTTCACAAAATCTGCCTGAGATAGATATAATAATATAATTTTCTTTTGTGCAGCTTTGCAAGCAGGCTTAGTATTCTAGCTTTAGGTAAGTCAGATAGTCTCATACTTGTAACTTTATCATAATACCCTTGCTGCTATTAAATAACTCTCTTACTGGGAAGACTTCCTGTTGCTCATATTGCAGTCGGCTGACCTAGTTTGCAAGGAAGCATTTGTGATTTGTTGTGTTTTTCTGTGGTGTGTGTCTAAGGTTAGGGTCTCAGTACTTGATTACCTCTGGATGAAATGGTGTTTAAATGGAAAGCCAAGCCCTTAAATTTGTTTTCCATTTCCAAAGTTATCTTTAAAAAGCCCCATAAAATTCTGCTTATTGAGACATTGTTTTGATAGAAGAAAAGGTTGTCCCATATATTTTGCAGGTGAGAAAGGCTGCTTTAGCCTGTGTCTGAAAACAGTTTATTCAGATTGGCATATTGGATTTTCATTTCTCTGATTATAGGTTTGACTGTAACCAAAATTTGGAAAAATTGGTGCTCTTTTATTGATTTTTCCCTACAGAGTAAATTACTGTGAACTTTGACCTACATATTGACTAAAGCTTTGCTTTTATTCTGGTTGATTGGTGGAAGAGAAAGTGAGAAAGAACAGTTACAGCATTTTTCCCAATGTCAGGAAAATCATCATTGTTGTGAATGCAACATGAGGAAAATACTTTTTTTCTGGAAAGGGTACCCTTTCAGGAAGTTTTACTTACTAGTTCATAGAGGGTTATGCGTTCTGATAATTATTTGCATAGTACTGGCCTCTAGAGGGTGTAGTGGATGTTGGCTGTGGAGTCAATACTCATAGTTGCAACCTAAAAGCATGCAGATTTGACTTTTGTTTCCTGTCCCATCTACCCACTAACTTTTATGGCACTCTGAGGGGTTGAAGAAGTCAGAGGCATTGAGCTTGAAACTGGGCCTGTATGGCCAATTTTTGAAAAAGGGTTTAATCAGTTCATACCCAGTGGTTGACCTGGTTACACCAGGACTGTCAAAAGGTAGGCTCCTTTATCAGGATAGTTGAGGTTCACAATTCAGCATGTGTCTCTTGCCACGATCCCCCCAAATTCCTCAACCTCTAGGGCAAACGGCTTATGGAAAAATAGTGGACACTGACTGGTTTCAGATTGTTATTCAACAACATGGTTGTAACTGAAATGTGGATTGTTGCTATAATGAGGGTTACCATTTTGTTGGAATCCAGCTGCTTTAACAAACCATAGGTTGTCAACCTCAAACAACCAATGAAGAGTACCCATGGTGTGGTGTGTACAGTTGTGAACTGTGGATTGTTCACCATTGTTTGTTACCTTGGCTGCATGCAAGCAACATGCTAACTTCCATGTCAACAACAACCCATCCTCAACCTGTACTCAGCTAACTTGAGTGTGAATTACCATGCTGTCTGAACTGAGCTGATTGTGCTTCCATTCTTTTTAAATCAGTAGTGTCAAAGGGTGAGGAGAATACAGAGGAATGGCTGGAGCTGATTTGCTTGGCTTAGCAGCCAAGGAAGAGCAATTGAATGACTAGTGTGAGGATCCTGTGGAGAAAGATGGTGGGAATGTTTGGGTTAGCAAGATAATAGTGGTAAGGACAGAACTATTCAGACATCCAAGAGAGTTACGGAGGGCAAGCAGATGATTGTAAAGAGGAGATTTAGATCGGGGGTGCAGAATCTGTAGCTCTCCAAGTCAGTGTCATGCAGGTTATAACAATAAGTAAAAACATCCCATTCCAACCAGGATGGATTTGATTTAAATCACTAGTTAGTAAGATTAGATTTAACCCATGGTTTTTCTACATAATTTGCAAGCATGCCTGCCTTACCTATAGGAACTTCATTAAAATATTTCCAAACTTGTTCTCTTTTTTTTTTTGCCTGCTGTCATTGTAGGTTTTCATCTCCATATGAATAATGAAAGAATAATATAAAGCTCAGGCTATACACAAGGCACTTGTGGAGTTTTCTGCTCAAGAGGGTTGAGGTTCATTTTTACTGCTTGTCCCTCCCTCCTCACACTTAGCTTCTTGTGCAGATCTATTCCACTCCCAACAATCTCCTTCTCTTCATTGATTTTTTTTTTTTTGCAACTTGGCACTTAAGAGGTAAGGGGCTGATTCTGTGCACGTAGATTTATAAAGTAACAATGGGACTAAGGTCTTTTTCTCAGCTCTGTTGGTTTATTTTATAATATTTTTGCTGTGAAGAAGAGGCATGTGATCTTTGCAGACACAAATTCACAGCTTTGAGAACTGCAAAACTAAGCATCTGTAATAAGATGTTCTAGATAGATAAACCGCCCAATAATCTTACAAAACCTTTGGAAGAGCATGGCATTGTGAATGGATTAATAGAATTCGTTTAGCAAAAAATTTAAACATTGCATGAACGTTCATCCCATCCATATTTCATGATGAATAACCTTTGGACTACGATGTGTCTAAAACAGAAAACTATCTTTAGATTCTTCCTTAAAAAGCATTTTATTTAAAAAAGCAATTTAATTTTTAAAATCCAATTTTTTATTTAAAAAAACACATTGATTTTTATCCACCCTGTTTCCAGCTACTGTTTCCATCATCCTTGCTGGTTGGGGTTGATGACAATTTGAGACCAGCAATATGTTCACATGTTTTCCACTCTTGCAGAACTGGGAATTTGCGAAGATAACTTCAGCCCAGCTCAGGGATGAATTGGTAACTGGGGGCAGCAATAATATTGGTGACAGCGTTTGGGGAGGTGCAATGTGAAAAGCAAATTGGGATAGGATAATATTTTTTAACTATGAACTCCTATTCAAAATGGGGAAAGTTTCAGTGGAAGATGTGGGTGTAGTGCCCAAACATCTACTGGACAGAACGTTTGGCCTTTCAGATGGCTTGACTTTGACATCCCCAGTTCAGGGAGTGTGGTTATTTATATAAATTCAAAGAAAAAATGAAGAAAACAGAAATAGAAACTTCGCTTCTCCCAGTAGGGCAATCGAGAAGCTATTCCAGAAACTGTTATGAAGCAGTTCATCACTAACTCCAGGCAAGGCAAGAAGAAGCCATAAAACGGGTGGGCCCTTCAAACAGGATATTTTAATTAAAGGCACAAGAACCAAGCCTCAGTAGTGCTTTGCTTGTCCACACTAAATACATTTGCATTTTATTGAGGGAAATGTTGCTACAAATCGGCTCTCAACAGAAATAGGACAGTAAAGATTGGTATTCGACTGGCTGTCAGCATTGTCATCTGGTTGCTCTGTAAAGCATAATTGAACAAAAGGTGGCAATTCCAGAGAAAAGAACTAGTGAGGAAGTAACATGAATGCAGTATATTAACCATATCCTGGCTGGTGTCTGTGATGAAGTCTTCACTCCTTCATTTTATTGCAGGAAAGTCAGAACTTCATTAAAAAGCTGCAGTTTTTACCATGATGTCCTTCATGTCTGTTCCAATAGTTGAAAGTCCAATGGTTAAAAGTTCTGAGTAGGAGTTTTAGTTTGCTGCTCCAAAGAGCAAGCTAACATTTTTTTTCTCATGGACAAATCTCACTGTGAACTTATCCATATGGCTTCATATTAGTGGGAGCAGAGCTGATCGTTGATTTGATTGGAACAAGAAGGATCTTGCTATTTTCAAGAGTTGCCTGTCCTATTTATTGGGGGCTGCTTTGAGAAATACTAGATTCAGGGTATGCATTCATACTGATTTATCTGAAATGGACTTTAAGCTTTTAAATTATTTCCAGCATCACTTTTGTCCCTTATATTTCTTGCTAGCATTTGGTAGAAGAACTTCCTAAGGGAGGGTGGGAGAAAAAAATCAAAATAAAGA